GACTTCATTCCCTTATGCCTTCAGTTTCTAAGGGCTTTGAATTTGTGCTCCTTAAATCTCAAGCTTTCATTTTCCTCTCTATTCTCATGTTTAAGCTCTTACTTAAGGATATTAAGTCATATAATAGTTTTGTAGGACAGATTCCTTGAGATGCTGCCTGTTTAGTAGAAGTCCCTAATCTCTTTGAGCCCATTCCTCATTTCTAAATGGGGCAAATACTGTGCAGCCTTGCACATTTGCGAGGATGCAGCAAGTAATTTATCTGAAGCAGCTAGCACAGTGCTATTTTTGAAGTAGGTGCTCAGTAAGTGATGCATGTTATTCTATGCCAAGAGCCAAATGCACATTTGGAAGAATTGTGAATTTTGAGAAACATATCTTTATAGTTTTGCTTTTTTATGTTTATCCAAACTCTTCTTGCTTAATTGGTAAGATAAGAGCATTGGACTATTTGACAGTTTCAGTTTTTGTTTAATATCAGGAGAATTGGATCCATTTTTGGATTGTTAATCAGGAGAATTTAATTTGGGCCATAAATTCAGTATCTTTCTGTACTCCAGCTGAGAAGTGGTGTAATTTGTTACATTGTTGCTGTTTGCTGGGTGTTCTTTGTCATGGATATAAATGTTTAATTTCCACCCCCTGGTTTGCAGGAGAGCCCACCTCTTTTCTGGTGGTGGACTTGATTTTCATTGAATGATCATTTCTGAAACTTTTTTAAATGATCTCAAATGAAGAAATTGCTAGGAATCTTTTTAGTTAGAAAAGTAACATAAATTCATGGTAAAAGTGAAAAATGGAATATTAATAAAAAAGGATCTTTATTTCTGTCACCTTCATATGCTCCCTCTTTTTTTCTTTTTTGGGTCAAACTTCGACTTGTGGGATCTTATTTCCCTAACCAGGGATTGAACCTGGACCCTCTGCCGTGAAAGCAGAGTCCTAACCATTGAACTGCCAGGGAATTCCCAATGCTCCCATATTTTCACTCTTAATATTTTATTAGAATTTATTAGAATTTTCTTGTGTTTCTAGACCTTTTTTTTTTTTAAATCTTTTGGTCGCACAAGTGGCCTCATATACATATTATCGAATACTTTGGTTAATATATTAAGGACATGCATTCAAATGAACATGTAGGTAGATTTTTTTATTATTGAAACTTTTATTGAACTTAGTATAAGTTCACATGCAATTAGTTGTAAGAAATAGTACAGAGATCTCATGTGTGTTTTGCTTGATTTTGCAAGTGGTATGTTTTGTGAAATCATCTAATACCACAATCAGATTATTGACATTGGTATAATCCACCAAACCTACTCAGATGACCCAGTTTTTGTTTTTCATATTCTTTTTTAAAGAAAATACTTTATTTCTATAAGGACATATTCCAGATGTCCCTGGTTTTACTTGTATTTGTTTGTGTGTGCTGTGTTAAGTTCTTTGCATTTTTGTCACCTGTATGGATTTGTATACTCAGTACCACAGTTAAGATGTTTAACAGTTTCAGTGCCACAAGGGTCTTTCCTGTGGCCCTTTTGTATCACATCCATCTTCTTCCTGGCAATTCCTCCTCCACCTTTGGCCAACTACTTATCTGTCCTTTGTTTCTAAAATTTTGTCATTTAAAAAGTGCCCGTAAATGGAATCATGCATATATATATATATATATATATATATATATATGCGCAGTATATATATGTGTGTGTATAGCCTTGTATTGGGTGTTTTCACTTATAATTAACTGGAGAGTCACCCAGGTTACTGAGTATATTGATATTTTATTTATTTTTGTTCTTAAGTAGCATTCTATTACACACACACACACACACACACACCAGTTTGTTTAACCATTCACCTGTTGAAGGACATCTGAAGGACATCTGGGTTTATCCTAGCTTTAGGCTATTAGAAGTAAAAGTGCTGTGACCATTTATATATAGCTTTTGTGTGAACATAGGTTTTCATTTTTCTGGGAATAATGCCCAAGAGTACAATTGCTGAATCATATGTTATTGGCATGTTTCCTTTTATAAGAAACTGCCAAGCTGATTTCTAGACTATACTATTTGACATTCTCACCAGTAGTGTGTGAGTGATCCACTTTCTGTTCATCCTCACCATCATTGAGTATTGTCACTATTTTTGTTTTAACCATTTTGATAGTTATGTAATAATATCTCATTATGGTTTTAATTTGCATTTCCATGATAGCTAATGGTGTTGAACATATTTTTGTGTGCTTATTTGCCATTTGTATATCCTCTTTGGTGAAATAGACTCATGTCTTTTGTTCATTTTCTAATTAATTTGTTTGATTTTAATTGTTGAGTTTTGAGAGTTCTTTATGTATTCTAGATGATCTACATTCTTTATTATGCCTGTATACAAATCCTAATTTTTAACTATTACATCTTTTAGATGACTTATTAAAGAAACTATATAATCATACAAGCTTGTGGTTTCCCCTTAATGTTTGGAACAGATTTTAGTGTTACTGTTATTAGGTAAAATTACTTTATTAAGTCCTCTAAAATTCGTTTCACATGTCTAGTGAACTTACAGGAAATACCATAATACTATGTTAAAGATTGCTGGAAGGATAAAATCCATTTTGGAGGATGAACAATTATATTTACACATTAAATTAAAAATAATTACTGGTTATATGATATCCCCTCATATACCAAGAAGAATCTGAAGGTAATCTTTCTCTGTAAATTATGAGGGTATATTCCCCTTGTCATCGCTATAATTTCTCTTGACGCAGTACTTGGAGCTGTTGGGGATCCCTGACGATGGCGGCAGTGTGCGTTGTGCAGGCTCTGTCTATACCCAGTAAAAACAGTAGACATTAATGCCGTGCTAACTGTTAATGAAATTTTATGTCCACAGGCATCTCTTTAATGTTTTAGATGGTTCAGTTGACAGTGTATTGACTCTATTTTTCTAATTAACATATGAAGAAAAAGCATGTCCACCATGCCATGGTCTGTAAAGAATTTCAGAGCAGTGGTTGAGAGGTAATAAAGTGCTACATTTGAAATGCTTTTTTAATGTAGTAGAGCTTTGGGGCAGAAGTGTTACAGTGCTGGTTAATTATACCACTGAAATTAGTTACTTGGTGGAGTAGATACTGGAGTTTAAGTAAAGTCTTGATAGGTACCTTAATTTCATAGTAATGCCTGTGGAATTGTTCCTAAGGATAAATTGGTGATAGTGGAATTATCAGGGCAATGGGTTAATTTTCATTGTGTCTCAGGTGTGCCTACTCCTGTATGGTTTTCCAAAAGGCTTGTACGATTTTACACAGTTCTAAATAGTGTATGAGTCCGACGTTTTCCTCCCTTTGATAACAAACCAACTTTGATGGCATTGTTTTTTTTTAAGTTTTTTACATAATTAAATAGATGCATACTGCTACTGAAAGATTGATTTAATTAATACAATTTTATTGAAAATGATTTGTTTATGTTTGTATTTCTCCTGTGGCCTTTGCTGTCTGTATCCTTCGCTGACTTATCTGGATTGTAGTGTTTTGTAGCTATTATCCTTTTATTTTATGGACATAAATATTTCCTCTCAATCTGTTTTTCATTTTAGTTAATAATTTTCTATAGTTGTAGAGCTGAAGTTTCATTTTTCATATAGCCAAATCAGTGTTTTGGAGTAATTTCTTTTACTGATTTGAAGCTTATTGTGCTTCTATATATTCGATAAACAAACTTTACATGCTTGTAAAAATTTGAAGAAATCCTGTCTGCTACAGTCTTACTGATTTAATAGAGATTTTATTTTAATATCCAGCACTATACAGATAATTTTTATTGTGTCTTTAGTATTCTTTTTGGAAACAATTTCTTTTAGCTGTGGGAGGAATGTTTCCTTTTGTATTAGGGAAGCAAATTATCCTCAAATTACCCACAAATTGAGTAGTCTAAAACAATAAACATTTCTGTCATATGAAGTTAAGAATAAGGGTGTGGCTTAGCTGGATGGGTCTGCCTTTCTCTCATGAGATTACAAACATGATGTCCTTCACTGCTGCAGTCATTTGAAGGCTATTGTAGGATCCTTGTCCAAGATGACGCACTCGTATGGCTGTTGGGAAAAAAAAACAACATATGGCTGTTGACTGTAGGAGACCTCACTTCCTTGCCTTGTGGGCCTCTCCATAGGGCTGCTCACAGTGGGTAGCAGGCTTTCCCCAGAGTGAGTGGTTCAAGAGAGGAGAAACCTAACAAGGAGATCCAAAGAGATCTACAGTGTGGGAGGGGAATACCTTGAAATGTGGGTCACTGGGGGCCACTAGGGCATCTAGTTACCAACCCACCTAGTAAGAAATAAACAGTTTTAATTAAAGGAGAAAGCTTAAGTATACATAGTAGTGGTACTTTTTATTAAAACTTTTAAGCTGAGCTAATGGACCTTGGATTGTTGAATTAGGTATATGATTGAAAAATATAATATAGAAAGATAACTAATGAAGTACACTGAAGTACTCTTCTACCTTGCCTGCTTAATTAACACTTTCAATTCCTATGGGCCTTCTACCTTTTTGTATGACAAAGGTAGCGGATTGTGCACACTTAATCTTTCTTTTTCACTTAATTTGTTGTCTAAATCTTTACATTTTTGAACAATATTTTCTCATTCGTTTATATAGTTGGATAGTATTTTATTGTATGAATGTATGAACATTTTCATTCCACATATCCTTTTGCTGAAAGGGAAAAACTGTGTACATAAGTCATTGTGAATGTATGCAAGTAAATCTGTAGGGTAAATCTCCAGGACCAAATCCTGGGTCAAAGTTAAATGTTTATGATTTTGAAAATATTGCCAAATTGCTCACTAAAGGAGTATATGTATTTACACTCTCAGCCAGCAGTATATGAATTTGCCTGTTTCAATGGGGATTCTTTATTTCTTTTGTCATAGTATAAAATTTAGCATCCTAACTTTTTTTGTGCCACACTGTGTAGCTTGCCGGACCTCAGTTCCCCAACCAGGAATCGAACCTGGGGCCACCACAGTGAAAGCCTGGAATCTTAACCATTAGACTACCAGGGACCGCCCCATCCTAACCAGTTTGAGGTGTATAGTTCAATGATATTACGTGTATTTACATTTTGTGCAGCCATTCTCCAGCACTCTTACCGTCTTAGAAAACTCTCCTGTTAAAACAGCTGTGCACTTTCCCTTCCTGCCAGCTCCTGTCAGCTACCATTCTGCTTTCTGTTTCTGAATTTGACTGCTCTCGAAACCTCTTGTAAATGGAATTATACAGTGTTTATCTTTTTGTGATTACCTTATTTCACTTAGTGTAATGTCCTCAAGAGTTTACCCATGTTGTAGACTGTTAGAATTTTCTTCCTTTTTAAAGATACTCTGCTGTATACCACATTTTTTTATCCATTTATCAGTCGGTGGCCACCTTTTGGCTATTGTGAATAATGCCGATATGAACATAGGTGTACAGGTATGTCTTTTAGATTCAGTGGGGTTCCTTCACACCATGCAGCTTGCGGGATCTTAATCCCCTGACCAGGAATTGAACCCAGGCACTCAGCAATGAAAGCGCAGTCTTAACCACTGGACTACCAGGGAATTCCTTATGGGGATTCTCCCATCCAAGTACTAACCAGGCCCGACCCTGCTTAGCTTCTGAGATCAGACGAGATCGGGCGTGTTCAGGGTGGTATGGCCGTAGACCTTATGGGGATTCTTTAAAGCTTTTTTTTTTTTTTTTTCTTAATTTGGCTCCACTAAGTCTTAGTTGTGGCATTTGGGAATCTAGTTCCCTGAGGAAGGTTTGAGCCCTGGCCCCCTGCAGTGGGAGCACAGAGTAGAATCTTAGCCACTGGACCACCAGAAAAGTCCTCCTGTGGGGGTTCTTAAGCTACTTCTTATACCCAAGGGAGAAGAAGGAATAATAAATGTTTATTTGATACCTAAATGACCTATAATTTGGATAGTCTTTTTTTTTTCCCCCCCCTCCCCCCCTCCCCCCCCCCCTCCTTTCCTAAGGAATTTTTTGTTGTTTAAAGCATGGACCTGTAAAAATCAAACATCCTTTGCATCATGTATAATTTTTTTCAACATTTCAATTCTGAGTATATGTCTTATAAATTAAAAAAGCAAAAAAAAAAAGACATAGTAACTGCATTTTAAAAGATCAAGGTAAAATTCACGTATTGTAAAATTCACCTTTTTAAAGGATACAACTCAGTGTGGCTTTAGTGTATTTACAGAGCTGAGCAACCAAAACCACTGTCTAATTCCAGAACATTTTATCACCCAAAATGAAACCCATAGCCAGCAGTCACTCTTCATTTTCCCCTCTCCTAGTCCCTGTCAACCACTGATTTACTTTGTTTCTATGACAAAGTATTTTATTTGTTCTGGATATGAATTTCATGTAAGTGGAATTATACAACCTTTGGTCTTTTGTGTCTGACTTCTTTCATTTAGCATGTTTTCAGATTTATCCATATTGTAGTATTACTATAACTACTTAATTCTATGTTATTGCCAAATAATATTGCATTATATTGATAATCATATTTTGTTTACCCGTTCATCTTTTGATGGACATTTTGTTTGTTTTCAGTTTTATTGGCTGTTAGGCAGTAATGTTGGGTTCCCAGGTGGCACTAGTGATAAAGAACCCGCCTGCCAGCGCAGGTTCGATCCCTGGGTCAGGAAGATCCCCTAGAGGAAGGCACAGCAATCCACTCGTGTTCTTGCTTGGAGAATCCCATGGGCAGAGGAGCCTGGCAGGCTGCAGTCCATAGGGTCCCAGAGCCAGACACAACTGAAGCAACTTAGCATGCATGCAGGCACGATGCTGTTAGAAACACTTGTGTATAGGTATTTTTAATGGGTATATGTTTTCAGTTCTATTGGGTATATTCCTATGAGTGGTGTCACTGGGTCACGTGGTGACTGTTTATTATTTTGAGGAACTGACAGACTGCACCATTTTATCATCCTTTTAATGATGTATGAGAGTTGTAGTTTCTTCATATCCTTGCCAACACTTGCTTCCTTTTTTTTAAATTTTAGCCACCCTGGTGAGTATTATGTGTTATCGTGTTGTGATTTTGATTTACATTTCCCTGATGACTGATGTTGAGACTCCTTTTATGTGCTTTTTGGCCATTTGTATAGCTACTTTGGTGAGTCTGTGTGGTAAATTCTTTGTGTATTTTTTAAAATAGGGATTTTTTAAATTGTTGAATTTTAATTGCTTATATATTATGGATTGTTTCTTATCAGATATGATTTGCAAATATTTTTTCCCATTCTGTGGGTTTTTTCGTTTACTTGATGATATCCTTGAAACACAAAGGTCTTTATTTTCTTAATTTGGCCATCCTGAGTAGCCAACGAGGGATTAAATCAGGGCCCTTGGCAGTGAAAGCATGGAATCCTAACCTCTGGACTGCCAGGGAAATCCCAAAGGTTTTTAATCTTAAAAAAAAAAAATTTATGTTTGGCTGAGCTCAGTCTTAGTTGTAGCACTTGGGATCTTTAATCTTTGCTACAGCATGTGGGGTCTTTAGTTGAGGCATGTGAACTGTTAGCTGCTGCATGCAGGATCTGGTTCCTTGACTAGGGATCAAACCCAGGACCCCTGCAGTGGGAGACCACTGGACCAACAGGGAAGTCCACGCCACACAGGCACACACCCCTGTGTATATAAATATATAATTAACTCATTTATGTGGCTGTGCCTAGTCTTGGTTGCTGGTGGATCTTTGTTCCATCACGCAGGATCTTTCGTTGGAGTGTATGGACCCAGAGCACACAGGCTCAGTAGTTGTGCACAGTTCGTTTCCCGACCAGGGATCGAACCTGTCTCCCTGCTTTGGCAGTTGGATTCTGTACCACGGACCACCAGGGAAGCCCTCCCGGCTGCCTCCCCCCACCCCCCGCCTTTGTTTTGTTTTTTGTATTGGCTGCATTGAGTCTTCATTGCAGCACCTGGGTAACTTAGAGTTGTGGTGCTTGGACTTCTTATTGTGGAGCACGGGTGCTAGAGCTTGCAGGGGCAGTAGTTGTATCGCACAGGCTTCTTGAGTTTCTCTTAGTTGCCCTGCTGCATGTGGGATCTTAGTGTCTTAGTTCCCTGAAAAGGGATCAAACCTTTGTCCCTTACATTGGAAGGCAGATTCTTAACCACTGGACCACCAGGGGTGTCCTTCCCTTCCTTCTTTAGTACAGTATATTACATTAATTGATTTTTCTGTATGTTGAAGCAGCCTTGTGTTCCTAGGATAAATTTCACCTGTTCATAATATATAATATTTTTTATTTGTTGCTGTATTTGGGTTGCTAGGATTTTTGCATCTTTATGCATAAGGGATGCTAACCTGTAGTTTTCTTGCAATGTCTTTCTGATTTTGGTATCAGGGTAATACTATTCTAATAGAATGAATTTCATTTTTTAACATGATTATTTTTAATAGTAAGAGTTACGTTCTAAGTTTTCAGTTAAGAGTAATTTTACCAGATACTTTTATTTTTTCTTTTTTTTCTTTTTCTTTTTTAATTTTTTTTCCATTTATTTTTATTAGTTGGAGGCTAATTACTTTACAACATTGCAGTGGTTTTTGTCATACATTGAAATGAATTGGCCATGGATTTACATGTATTCCCCATCCCGGTCCCCTCCCTCCCACTTCCCTCTCCACCCGATCCCTCTGGGTCTTCCCAGTGCACCAGGCCCAAGCACTTGTCTCATGCATCCAATCTGGGCTGGTGATCTGTTTCACCCTAGATAATATACATGTTTCGATGCTGTTCTCTTGAAACATCCCACCCTCGCCTTCTCCCACAGAGTCCACAAGTCTGTTCTATACATCTGAGTCTCTTTTTCTGTTTTGCATATAGGGTTATCGTTACCATCTTTCTAAATTCCATATATATGTGTTAGTATACTGTAATGGTCTTTATCTTTCTGGCTTACTTCGCTCTGTATAATGGGCTCCAGTTTCATCCATCTCATTAGAACTGATTCAAATGAATTCTTTTTAATGGCTGAGTAATATTCCATGGTGTATATGTACCACAGCTTCCTCATCCATTCGTCTGCTGATGGGCATCTAGGTTGCTTCCATGTCCTGGCTATTATAAACAGTGCTGCGATGAACATTGGGGTGCACGTGTCTCTTTCAGATCTGGTTTCCTCGGTGTGTATGCCCAGAAGTGGGATTGCTGGGTCATATGGCAGTTCTATTTCCAGCTTTTTAAGAAATCTCCACACTGTTTTCCATAGTGGCTGTACTAATTTGCATTCCCACCAACAGTGTAAGAGGGTTCCCTTTTCTCCACACCCTCTCCAGCATTTATTGCTTGTAGACTTTTGGATAGCAGCCATCCTGACTGGCGTGTAATGGTACCTCATTGTGGTTTTGATTTGCATTTCTCTGATAATGAGTGATGTTGAGCATCTTTTCATGTGTTTGTTAGCCATCTGTATGTCTTCCTTGGAGAAATGTCTGTTTAGTTCTTTGGCCCATTTTTTGATTGGGTCATTTATTTTTCTGGAGTTGAGCTGGAGGAGTTGCTTGTATATTTTTGAGATTAATCCTTTGTCTGTTGCTTCGTTTGCTATTATTTTCTCCCAATCTGAGGGCTGTCTTTTCACCTTGCTTATAGTTTCCTTTGTTGTGCAAAAGCTTTTAAGTTTCATTAGGTCCCATTTGTTTATTTTTGCTTTTATTTCTAAAATTCTGGGATGTGGGTCATAGAGGATCCTGCTGTGATTTATGTCGGAGAGTGTTTTGCCTATGTTCTCCTCTAGGAGTTTTATAGTTTCTACCAGATACATTTTATTATAACTTTGCATTTTGAAAATTGCTGACATTGAGGCAGTACATTCTTCATTCATTACTCAATAATTTTTTATGTGCCAGGAATGCATAAAATGGGAATATGGTGGAAGCTGAGGCGGGGCAACTGTGCTAGGCTGAGGGGAGTGTGATTTAGGATTCTAAGATTTGAAATAGCTGCTGCTTTGGGAGGATAAGAAGTTGAATATGGTGTGATTAGTTTGGGAAGGTGGG